AAAAAAAAAGGAATTTATTTGTCGGCGATATTTTGAATGTGATCCACATTTTCCATGGCATTTTTCAGACAATCGGACTTTATTCATATATGGAAAATGGTCTTCGTATTTATTTATTTATTTTCTTCTTCGTATATTTGATATTTAAGTTTTCAAAAAACTTTCTAATAATTTTTAGAACCCGAAATATATTTATTTCTTTCGAAATCATTTTTAAATCATGGAAATGTTTACGAAGGGATCACCTAACCTAAAATTTTTCCCCTTTGATTTTAGAGTTTTTACCATTGAGTCATAAAAAAGAAAAAGTAGTGCTAAGTCATTCAATTTCATTATATATATTATTAGTATTTTATTATTAAAATGATATTTTAAAAATTTGAATTGGCCTCTTRTTATGAGTTAGCTGCCAACTACCTTGAAATATCTCCCTCAAATTATGGGTCGTTAGGTGGTTACATTTTTTTAAATAATTTTATTTCATCTTAATTCTTCTCGATGGAAGAAGAATTTAGGGAGAGAACTTTTTACAAAACCTGTGTTTTACATCAAGACACGGATTAAACCATTGGATAAGCTAGTAATGGTGTGATCTTTTTATGATTTTCAAATTTTATTGCTATGGTTGGAGGTACGTAATATTTAAATTTTATCTAATAGTAGTTACAATCAATTCAATCAAGTGATTTCAATATCTTTTTCATTTGGATGTGATATTGGTTATGTTATGGGAAGACAAAACTAGACTTGATAGACGAGCTACCTCACAGATCCATGACCCAAAACATGATTAGGTACAGGGCATGGCCAGATCCAAGGCATAGCCAGATCCTAGGCATGACCAGGTCCATAACATGACTAGATCATTTAGTGCGTAACCAGATCCAGGGCCCCACAAGATCCGACCGACCAGGTTCCGATTGTCCAAGTCTAGTTGTCCAACCATGTCTCGATCGACCTGATCCGACTACTGAAAAGTCAACTGCAGGTTACGATACCTCAGTTAAACATTTGGCGCACAAGATGCCCACAGCAGTAGGGTATGTTTCCTAAGAGTAAGCTAAAGGTACATCGAAATACCATACTCTTCATACTCGACTACTCAGATTTTAACTTAAGCATCAAAGCCTATGTGGCAATTCGAAGCTATTTGGTTTTGTAGGTATCGTCGATCTCTTTTATTCTAGAAGATCGGTGTGAATTTAGTAGAATCCCAAAAGGCCATATTTCTGAATGAACACATTTATTTATATACTTATTCTCTACCCATGATGTCACTGTCAAATTAGAGAATTAAAAAAAAAAAATTAAAACACCTATTATTATTCTAGATATTTTTGTAAGATTTCAAAAGAGATTATAAAAAGTAAAGGTTAATTTTTAAAAAGAGAAGTAAAAATGAAAATTATTTCCAAACCTAGTCTTACTTTTCTAAATTTTTAAGTGTTGAGTTTCTAATTACTCTAATCGACTTGGATTGGGAAGACTATCGTTGTACCTAAAAAATGACAAACACATAGCTTATTCTAATTTATTCGCCACCTATGTTGCATTTGAAATAATAAAAGAATTTATTAGGTAACATTCAATATAGTGATTGACTAGAGAATGTCCAAAAAGTAAGATGAGCAATTATGGTATAATGTGTAAAATGATTTTAGTTAAAAAAAAAAACATTGAATAAGCTTTATGAGATGACTAAAATTATTGAAGCATTCACAGATTTGACACTGTTTTGATAAAAAAATAAAACAATGAGCAGAAAAGAACAAGAAAAGACTCAAAATTCTCACTCCAATTTAATAGAGTACCAAACCAAATTACTTTTTTGCAGTAACTTGGGATTCTATAATTGCAACAACGATAATTTTTTGTTACATTAATTTTCTTGGATTCTATATATCCACTTCAAACCAATTATGTCAAATATTCATCATTGCCCCTATAATTTAATCTGTGTGTGACAGAGAGAATATAGTCATCATCTTTGATTATTCAATTTAATTTGTGTGGAATGACATGCATGCATGCATGTGCATAGTTGACATCAAATGCTTGCAAAGTGTGATATCATCATACATTGCATACTAAGGAATTCGACACCAAACTACCAATTTAAGCATAGTTTAGTGGTTAGAGATTTTCACTCAAAATGTAGTAGAAATAATTTACAAGTTAGCAAATAATAAGTATAATTTTTTTATTTATAAGAATGATAGTTTTTTATGCAATTAATTAAAATATAATTAATTAAAAATGTAAAATTATTTTTACTAATTTCTATTTATTCTTTTATATAAAAAAAGACTAAAATGCAAATTGTAATATTATATATTAATTATTAGATAAGTAATCCTCAAATTGTCACTCCTTTAGACTACAAAATTAAAAACATAATAATTTTGTTGAGATGAGACGACACTTAACCACTAAAATTGTGGGTTGTATATATTAGATATCCAATATATGAATTAAATTTACCCAACCCATCAGCTYAAGTTTTTGGGTTGATTGGTGGTTTATTCATCCTTAGCATGGTATCAGAACGGGAGGTCTTGTGTTTGAACCTTTTATCCAACCCATCAATTTAAGCTTTTGGGTTGAATGATTTTATTCATCCTTAATCGTTTAATGCAAAATTCTAATTAAAAAGTATAAGAACAATTGAATAGATATCGGTAAAATAGTTTATAGCAAAAATATTACTTATATGTAAGCGCAACATATGAATTGAAAATAAAAATAAGTATTAAAATTGAAAACAATAATTAAACAACAAATAGTATATTCATAAATGAAAAAAAAGAAAAAAATAGGTTATAAAACGGTAGGGTAGAGGCAGCACCATTTAAAAGCGTTTAAGGAAAAAAAAAATTCCTTTTAGAAAATTAGAATTTATCCCACCAACATATACCTTTTCTCTTTTTTTTTTTCTTTTTTAAAAGTAGACATATTTATATAAATAAAATTTTCATTTTTCCTATAAGAAATAAAAGAAACACGAATTTTATGATTTTTTTTCCTTTTTAAAAACTGATAAATTAGGCAAGTTTCATTCCACTTGTTGTGAGTGTTTTTTAAAAAATTACAAAATATATTAAACAAAATAACTTGAGAGTGTTTAGAAATCTGACAAAATAAATTGAAAATTGAGGTTGAAGGGACTGGAACCTAGGCGGTCAGGCTGTGGGTGTGTTTAAAAAATTGACAAAATATATTAAACAAATAGTTAGATAGTATTTAAAAGACTAACATAGAAAATTGAGATTTGAAGCAACTCGAATTAACAAGCGCATGACACTCTGCTAAAGGAGAATACTTTATAATTTATTACCAATAATATATATGTTATAAAGTTAAGTGGACTAGAACACGTAAGACTCTATGTAAATCTGTCCCGGTCGTAAGTTCAAATCCTCGTCTTATATTGACTTAAATATCGTAGTGTTATCTCTTTGGTATTGACACACTTTTCTTTTGTGTAGGTCATTGGGTTCAGTTGTTCGAGGTAAGAATCCACAATTCTCCTATTCACAACCCATCGAGTCAAATTCGACTCCCTTGATGCAACCCGACTCTCCAAATTACGTTACAATAACGCGAACCTAAAAATACAAATTTTAAAGATTTGTTACAAATTTCTAATAAGCAAATAGACAGGACCTTAAAAATTCAGAAGTCCACTTTTTGTAATTTGCAAAGCTGAGTGCTGGAATTGGATTCAATCACTAGAAAACTTTGGTTGGGGCCCGCCAGAGTTTAGAAGCTTTCGGAGACAGCTGGCAGTCCGCCGACGAAGAGAAATGAAAGAAATCCTGATTCCACGGTGTCAGTAGCAGTGATTGTGTACATCAGATGTACAGTTTGTACAATGGAACTGAGGCCACATTATGATTTGAGTTGGGCCACCTGATCCTCATCAGATGGTGGGGGCCCACTCTTCCCTTTCATCTAATAACTGAAAACCTTACACCCTGCCACACGGAATTACCTCCCTCTTTGTCAACCTTTGCGGGGCCCACATATTTTATCTCAAAAAACTTTTTGCTTCCCCATGCTCCCTTCCAAAGCTTTTTCTTGGACATTGTTTGGCCCAATAAATAAATAATGGGCCTTACCACTTATCCGAGGCCCACTCCTCCTGTTCACAATTTTAGATAATTACAAACAAATTATTGTGTACTATATATTACTGTTTTATCCCTTGTGTTCAATTTCTATTTTCCAATTCCGTTAAGTTTCTATATAGCAAATGAGGCTGTGAAGATTCAAACCTATACATTATTAATAGCTCAACCAAGTTAGTTATATAAATTTTATAATAATCATTTTTTTTACTTCAAAATTAGTGATTTATAAATAATCAAATGTCACGTGGACTACATTTGAAGATTTGATGCCAGTCAAAGAATTAAGAAGCCACAAAAGAAAAAGGCTATTCGAAGGAGCGGGAAGATAATGCTTATTTTGCTATTCGATCTACAATTGAGTATAAATCACAGTTTACATGAAAAACTTTGAGATCCAGAAAGTCTTTCCCCAACTCAATGACGTTTGAAGCATGCATAGCAGCTTTGCTTCTATTTATCTCCTCTCCATTTAATAACCGAGTTGCTTCTAAATAGTTGGGTTGAATAATAATCTTTAGAATTTTCAATCTCAATGCCAGCAGAAGTTGGTCCCAAATTGCTAGAATCTCTACATGTAGCAAAGTGTAACCAACCTCGAAGGATAGAGATATAGCGAAAGTAATGGAATATTAGTCTGTCCGAATCATAAAGGCAATTCTAGTAGGTTAAAATAGACTGTGAGAAGCGGCAATCACGGTTGATTATAGCATGCTAATAGTTGAGTGTGGCACACTCACATTTGATTCGTATACTATTTGTAAGACAACCATTTTGAAAGTTAATTACACACTTATCTTCGATTTCTTAATAAATTTTTGTTTGTTCTTACAATTGATTAGTTTGGGAGAGTCCTTTGATTTACAAGTCCTGTTAACGGAGAGAGCTTAGAAAAGCAATAAAATTGGAGAGAACAACAAAAGAATACAGAGCATAAATTCAATTTCTAGATCTAACCCTCTTGTTCTTATATATGTTACAATATGATATGAATAGATTAATACTTTTTTTTTTCTTATTTTTTTGGAGTGAATGTCATTTGAGATAGTTTGGAAACGTCGATTTATTATCGTATACGAAATCGACGGTCGAAAACATCTCATTATTGTCATCGTCGCTATCGTCCTCATGAACAAGTGAGCTACCAGAATGATTGACATGATCAAACCTGTTTGACAAAAAGAAGCTCTGCAAGGTTTTCAAATTTGTTAAGGTTTCAACTTGTGTTGTGAAAATTGCCATTACAGGCCTATGATCTGATAGCTTTGATTCCCCTCGGTTGTATGATACTTGTTTTAGCCCATTTCCATTCCATATAATTCGATCACACCTGAATTTACAAACCAAATTTGTCTTTAGCTCTTGTCAATGATATAGAGAGAAAAAAAAACAAAAAAACAAAAACAAAAAGTTGTGTCATTTTCTTTTATTTTTAGAGAATATTTCAATTTTTAGCCCGAATGTTATCAAATTTACCTAGTATAGAAAAGAGAAAAAACTTAAATCTCATTTTTGGTCTTGAACTTACAAAATATCTCATTTTTTCCATCAAAGTTTTTTTTTTCCTATCAAAATGTTTATTTTAGGCATTCAACTTAAAAATATAACTTATCTTCATGTGTACTAACATGTTAACATGAGCGTGTATTAATTAAACCATATAGATTGAGATGAGTATTTGATAAGCTCACTTTTGGGTAGAAAAATAATATAACAAAGATCAAAATTATTATATTTTGGGGACTAAAATAGATTATAAAATTTATGGACTAAAATGATTAATTCGTTTTGAAACTTCAAGAACAAAATTGGAACAATCCTAAAGGTTCAGGGAGCAAAATAGGATTCGAACCAAATATTAGTATGGTAATAATTTTGTTGTCTTATTTACTGATTTACCTCTTATACTTATGTTTTCTTCCTTTACTCTTGGTTACTTTTAAAAATTTAATAAGATTTTAAAAACTTAAAATAGATATTTTGAAATTTGGCTAGGGTTTCAAAAAGTAAGTAGATTAAGAACAAAGAAAATAGGTTCATAAATTAGCATGAATATTAGGAAATAAAAACGGCATTTTTTGAAGGTAAGGCAGAGAAAAAGAAGAAAATAAGAGCAAAGAAAAAAACTAGCTAATACAAACAAGATTTGAAGAGATAAAAAAAAGAATGGTTATCAAAGAGAGTTTAATAAATGAATTATGTTTTATTTTTAGTTCTTAAATTCGTGGATCATCAAATTATCATATAAAGGAACACTACTGGAAAAAAAGAAAAAAAATTAGAATGAAATAAAGAAAGTACCATGCAGGAGCTCTCCTTTTCTCAGCTTTTAGACCATTTAAAGTTCCATAATAAACCTCTGAATTTGGACAATATTTGTAAGTTGGTCCAAATTTTATGTTCCCTTCTTGCCATCCTTCCAATACTTGACCATTCATCATCTCCATCCTTAGCTTCATTTCCAACAAAATAATAAATAATCAAATAATAATATTTTGATAACGTGAGCATATGAGATTTATATACTCCATATTAGAAAACCTATGATTCGAAAAAAAAAATCATATACTATAACATAGGTTTGGCTTCCCAATTCTAATTAAGCTATATAATCCATAATGCTTCAAATATGTTATTTTAGAAAATGTTTGAGAATCTAACTTTGAATGGTAGTATTTAGATTGTTTTAAAAAATGAGTTCTATAAATATTTTTGGTTAATTTATCAACATAATTATAATTAATTACCTGGTCATTTTGTAGTAAAGTGTCCCAATCCTTTATTTCAACTAAAAATCTTGTAGTTGCTTCTGGTAAAGAAACTCTGTAATTCAAGTCCCCAAGCAATATTACTCGGCTGCATTCAGAAAAAGATCATAAGTAATAATTAATTAAAGCTTAGTTGCTTTTAATTTAATCTTTAATTCTTCCAATCAAGTCAACTCGAATAATTGTACAAATATGATCATTTGATTGACTTTTAATTACCAGATATTAAGTTACTGATTTTCAAGTGGTTTAATCTTCCCAAATTTAACAAAGAATAAATATTCCCCACTATACGTTATAAAATAATTAAAATTATGTTAAATTATAAGCTTTATAAACTTTCAAATTATACCGTCTAATAGATTCTTAAACTTTTAATTTTGTATTTAATAGGTAAACTTGGTGGATAGAATTTTGACCAATTGGATATTATTTTTTAGTCCTATAATAGATAAAATTTAATTTTGTATATAACATTCGGTGAAGATTGATTCCCACCCACATTTATTGTATACAAAGAAGAAAAAAGAAAACAATTCAAACAGTTGATGAACCAAAATTGTTGTTTAACTTTGTATATATTTTTTTAGAATAAAATATCGTTGTTTAACCTTAAAAAGGCAAATCAGTATTAAGTTTTAATTAGGATTAAAAAAAGATTTATTTATATATAGAAAAGTACAAAGGTATGAAGACAATTTCAACTTAGCAATAATGGAGCTGACCATTTATTTATTTCTCCACATTTAATTAATTTAGACTAATTAGCTTCCAGTTATTCAATTTGTCTCTGCAACTAAGTGAATATTCTAGAAACGAAATTTCTAATCAATGATTGCTAAATTTTAAAGCAATTAAATGCTCGATTGGTCAACCATGAATTAATAAATATAATTTACGTACTAATATAATGTATAAAATCATCATAATTTTTTTTAGTACAAAAAAGCAATCATGATTGAAACAAATCTACATATGGTTTCATGTCACTTGATTTGTTTATAATGCAATCAAACTGTTTACATTATTTCAGTTATTGATAAAAATTGATATTAAACGTCTATAGAAAACTAATCTTCAAAATACAGAAAACTAAAAATAAAAATCATCAAATCTAACTTTATTTTAATTTGTACTWAAAAAAAAACTTTATTTTAATTTATATATTTTCAAGATTGGGTCTTAAAAATAATGAGCAAACCATAACTAAACATCGAATCATCGAGTTTTAGAATAGTAATAGGTATGTTAATCCGAAAATTGATTTAATTTATTTAGATTTAGAAAGGAAGGGTAAATAGAGCTTACTCATGATGGAGAATTTTTTTGGGCAAATCAAGGGAAGGGCCCTTTGGAAACTTGGTACGACATAAAATGTCACAAACATTTTCATTTCTGTTCTTCTCATCTCCTTCTTTTCCTCCTGAAGCCAAATGAGTGCAAACAAAGCAAAAGCTTGTTTCATGTAATCGAAATCTAACAGAAACTGATCCCTGAAATGTCAAAGTTATTAACCAATTTAATTATATTATTAGGCTTTCAATTATATAACAACAACACAACTTAAGTAAAGAGTTACATTCTTTGGGTTTGTGAAAAAACTATAAATAGGGGAGATAAAATTTCATTTGGTACGAGAGAGAAATTAAAACAAAACCCTAATTTCAATAATCTATGTTTTAAAACGTAGACGTTCCAAAGTGAAAATAATTGAACAGTAATTGACATATATCTCAAACTAAGAGGTTAAAAAAAACGTGACCTAAGAATAGAAAAATAGAATTGCATTTGGTAAGAGTTGTTTGTTGTTTATAATTCTAATTCTTTCTTTTTTTTATTGGAAAGGGAAATAGAAACATGAGTGGTAAGTCTTTCTTGTTTTTTATTCTCTAATGAAAACAAATGTAGAAGCTTTACTTTATATGAAGATTAATTTTTCAAATTAAGATTTTGTAAGTCAAAAATGATAAAATAATCCTTCCATCTATATTTTTTTAGAAAAATTTGGAAACATGAATGGGAAACTGAGACCCTTTTTTCCCTTCCCTTAATATATATGGCATCCTTGACTAATAGTTTGGACCCTACTACCTGTATAAAGCTTGCATCTTTGCTCAAGGAAAATGTCAAAGCTAGGGCTCATTTGGTAAAGTTATGTTCCTTGTTTTCAATTTTCTTTTTTTTAAATTGCATATCCCTCCACACCCATGGATTCAACAGTGATAAAACAAGATCTTATTTATGTCAGAACAAATTGGAAACATGAACAACTTTCTAGTTGTTGGAAACAACAAAAACAAGTTTTTTTTTTGGTTTCTTGTTTCCCTTTGAAATGTGTTCCAAAACATAAATAAAATGTTATTTTATCATTTTTGAATTCATGTGTATCAGAGTCATGCAATTTTATTTTTCCTTACTAAAAAGGAAGAAACAAAAACAATAAACGGAAACAACGGGCCCTTATTTTGTTGTTTTTAAAACATGTAATAATTTTGTAAACATGTTTTAAAAACGAAAAACCAAAACTAGGAGCAGTTACCAAATGTTCATTTTTCTCAAAAATTACAAATGAAAAATAAAACGAAAACGATAAGATTTCGAAATGATAGGATTGAAAAGAAGATGAATGTTTCAAATATAAATGAAATATACCTTGTTGCCAAGGCAGCCCATGATGCCACAACCGATGCAACAAACACTTGGATTCCTTATGAATGGATGAAGCTCACTTCGAACCCAAATTGAGATCATAATCCCAACCATTTGTTTGCTTATAATACACTTGAAATTTTGTCTCACTTTCTTCTTCAACGCCTCTCTTATCATCGAATTCCATTTTGTACAGATCTTTCTGTTCTCTGATCCAAACACATTCGAGGCTTTCAGAGGCACAATTTCTTGGAAACTGCACATGTGCACACAACTCGTGCATATAATTAAATTGAAATCACTAATTAACCCTAATTACTTAACTATAATCCCTTTATTCTGCATCTCTACTTTGAAAGAGTATCCTAACCATGACTGTCTAAATTTAATTTTCTAGGCTTCAGACATATAAATTAAAGAAATAAACATACCATACGAACAAATTTTTGAAAATATATAAGACCTATAGCAATTATTAGTTTTGTCTTTGCATTAGGGACCGAGTCATGGTCTTCAATCTTTATTTGAATAATATTTGTGTTTCTTTTTCATTTGAATGATATTCTTTAGGCACATGTTTTTACCGGAGTGTCTATTTCATTCCTATACCACCTAAAATGATACCCAAATTCAAAAAATCATGAAATGGTTGTCAAAGGAAATATTAAAGTAGAAATAACAAAAATGACCCCAATAGGGGAGAAAAAGAAAAATGAAAATTACCCAAAAACATAGATGTCACAAGAAATGTCCAACCAATCCTCCATGTCCAAATCTTGGCTTGGTGCAACACCTCCAACATTCCATGTACTAACAAAAACCCTGCCAAAAAAACAAGACATATAGCTTAAAGTTAGGGGAAGCATTTACAAAGATTAATGAAAAAACATATAATGGGAGAGATTACTTGTAAGTATGGATTGGAGGTTTATAGAAGGCATTTGGAACTGAAGAAGATTGAGCAAAGATTGGAATCTCAAGCAAATTGGCTTCTGAGTTGTTGTTGCTTGGAATGTCTGCCACAAAGTTATTGCTTCCCAATCTCTTCTTCAAGATCTTGTTGGCAACCAATCTTGGCCACATCACCTGAAAATTTGATTGAAAATTAGTTCACAATGCAAAAATGAGAGAGAGAAAGAGAGAGAAAGCTTAGTACTTCTCCATGCTTCCCAGCCATGGGGTTTGGAGAGAGAAAGAGGAGCTGCTGAGAGAATGAATGTTTAGTAGAAGAGAAAAAAAGAGATAAAAATAAGAATTTGCTGAGGAAGAGAAGGAGCTGTGCAAGTTGGGAGGCCGAGAAGGGCAACCCAATGACGTGGGTGATGATGTGGCTTCTCACTCAGGGCAAGAAAATGAGTCTTTTTTTATATTCACGAGTGTCTACGTCAGCTAACACGCACTTTAACTAATCTCACGAAGCAATCGTCTCATCCTACAACATTTGGTGTCTGAAAACACATGAGAATTGATTTCCTAAGTAGGTAGTTATCATGTGGTTTGAATTCATTTCCTCTCGTTTTACTCTAGTTCTTTTAGACCAATAAGTTATCCATAATAATTAAGGAAACATGGTCGGGACAGGCTTGATTTCAAATTTTTATTCTTTAATTGCTTTTTTGGTTCATTTGGTTGGGTTGTGATTTCGAAAGGGAAAGTTTTGGAAATTTGGATTTAAATAAGTGCGAGTGGGGGATGGATGGATCATGGATGGTCCAATCCAAACATATTCAATTTTGAAAATCCAGACTTCAGAGAAAATTTTATTGCCTCAATTACAGGGAACAACTCTTTATCTTTGCATATACATTTCAAGTTTTTTTCAACCCTTTGTTACTAGACCACATGTTTGGCAATTCTAATTTGCTTAATCAACTATTTTGATTTGTGTTCTTTTTTTTTTTTCTTCCTTCAGAAGTGGAGATTAGACTACATAACCTAAGGCATAAGATCATCCATGGAATTTATTCTATGTCCCAAAATAAGATTTTAATCACTCATCCTATATGAAACAATAACTTTAAGGTTAATGCATATATTTGTCTAATCTATGCAATTAATTGGCTTTTATAATGTTTTCATCTTCATAATTTTTGTTATCATATATACATTCAATAATTAGGTTGTTCATTCTATTAAAAAATTGGGAGATCGGCCTTTGGGACATGCTAGTTATATTGATTACCTCAATGTATAAGAAAACAAGATTAAAAAAAAGGATTAAATATATGTTTTAGTTGGTTGTGTATTTGAGTGTTTTTTTTTTCTCTTTTAATTTAGTCATTATATTTTAGTATTTTTCAATTTAGTATCTCATATTTTGTAAATGTTAAAATTGGTTATTAATATACTTACTTGATTTTTTCCTTAGTAGTAGTTAATATTTTTTTAATTAACAACCGATGGAAATTTAATTATTACATTTTTTTTACAAAATATAGAGACTAAATTATTATACATGGACCAAGCATAAAACGCACGAACGCATGTGTTTTGACATACTTTTATAAATGTTATATTTAATCAAAGTTTTCAACAGAGATGAAATCGATATTTTATCTCCTTTTGTACACTATTTAGAGTAAAACTTTATGGAACATATATAATGTCAACCATTTAGAGGAGAGAGGTATGATCATTGGTTACTATTCAATAATTAATTATATCTTTAAAGTACATAAAGTAGCTAGGACTCATTGTAGATAGTAGATCATAAAAGTTATACTCATTCCTCACAACAAGTCATGCATTAAGCATTATGTTATGCACTAAGCATTCAATTTAACAATTCCAAAGTTGATTTGGATGCTTTTGAATGTGGTTTCTAGAAAGGGTCGTTTTTATAATATGTTTAATCAACCAGTTGGTGGTGTAGTCGGTTTGTGACCAAATAGGTATATCCCCTTCCTGATTCGAATCTCATAGGGTACGTAGCTGGGGCTCCCCCACCTCAGAATAATGAGTGCCGCAACGCCGATTACAATATTGGATGCTCCTCAATTATAGAGATCTAATAGGCAAAGTCACATGACATCGATTCTCGAATTTATATATATATATATATAATCAATTATATTATAAAAATAATTCCCTTCCACTACTTACCAATTACCCATTACCAATTACCCATTACTACTCATGTATATGGACTTAAATTTAATCATTTGTGGTCCCTTTTTATTATCATTAAGAATATCTTAAGGCTCTTCTTCTAAAAAATAAATTGAACAAGTAAAAACAACTTTTAAAAACCTCACCGACCAAATTATTTTTCTATATTGAAAAGTAAATTTAACATTGTTTTAACATCATTCCTAAACAATTTCACTACAAAAATTATTAATATACTACAATCATAGTTATATGTTTATTCAAAGTAACTAATTAATTTTAAATATATTAATGAACAAACCAAGTTGGTTGGCAAAATAAAAGTAAAAAAAAAAAAAGAAAAAAGAAATTTTATTTTTTAAATTTTATTTATTTTGTTGTCATGTAATGGAACATAAAGTATGGTGACATAGGAACAGTATCCAACCTAACATTTGTAGTCTCAAATCTTAATATAAAAAAGAAATGTCTTTTTTACAATATACTTAAAATAATTCCAATAAACTAAATGACATATAAAAATAATAATAATAAACCACTTGGGCATTTTTAATAAAATTTGATTGCCAATTTGTTCGATGTGATAAGAGACAAAAAACCCCCAAATCACCAATGGGATGTAGTGTTTGGATTTTCTTAATCATAAGTGCAAATGGGGGAATGTGACATATCTTTATCTCCACTCTCATATTTTTTTAATAAAAAAATTGTTTTCAAATAAAAATAAATTAATTCATTGGTTGATTGATTGCATTTAGATTTAGATTTTTTAAAAATATTCTGTGCACCTTGGAAAATATGCTCATAAAAGTATTCTCCTTAGTCCAACCGTAATCAATATAAATAAATATTCCCAATTATCCAAATGTATAGTTGCATTAATTTTCTAATTGTTTCGGTAGTTATAAACTTATAAATATGGTATGTCAAATATCATATTACATAGTCTTATTGATACAACTATATTTTATTAATGGTGAAATATTGTCTTGAATTTTTAAGAAGTAGCGAGTAGTTTGTTTTATTCTTAGTCGTGGATTTGAAAATGAAAAGCTAAAATAAAACTAAAATTTTTTAAGCTCATTGAATACACATTTCATTTATTTATTTATTTTATTCTTTAAAAAATGAAAATTTTAGCTAGATTGAATAGGAAGAAAAAATTCTAAGAATTCTATTTCTTTTTTCTTTTATTTTTATCTTTGAAGTTTTAAAATCATGTTAAAAAAAATAAAGTGTTATAAATATTAAGGAATCCCACGTTGAAAAAGATAAAAATATTATAATATAAATGGACTAGCTCCTCTAATTGTTAATTGATTTTAAGATAGAACTACGCATAAATATTGATAATAAATTCAACTTTATTTTAATTAAAAATAAAATAATTATGAAATAAGTCTAATAAATATAATTTTATTTTGGGTTTTTAAAAAATCTACAGATGTCTTAGCCAATTTAATATATCTATGCTTTTCAACTTGACAATTTTGTTTTGGTTTTAAAGTTACAAAATAGATAAATAAGAAAGAGAGAAAGTTAATACTATTAAATTTATATTTTCTCAATTATGCCTATTGGAAGAAATGAAGATAAGTTATAATAATAATACCTATTATTATTTTTGCGTATGAAAAAAAAAAAAGACAGAAGACAAAATGATGCCAATGGTAGAATCTAGAATGAGGAAGTCCACTTGCAATCATTTTAAAATTCTTTTCTATTTTCTTAGTGGAACCGTGGAAAAAAAAGGACAGAATAGAGAGTTGCTTGAAAGTTCGTTTTTAAAGGTTAATTTATATATATTTTTAAAAAAATTAGTTTTGGGTTTTAAGTACAATATAGGAAGGTGTGGTTTGACGTGATGACAGGTACTTAACCAATTAAGCTATTCATGATGCTAAAATTTTTAGTATTAACTAGTTTATAACACGTGCACTGCATGCCTTATCAATTTTTTTTAAGAATTTCTTAACCATGCTTCCATGATCTCAGGATGTCTCCCATTCGAAAGTGATACCAGTATATCTATGTACCTCTACTCTATCCGGATCTGGTACCGATTGATCCATATATCCCTACTCTCTACCTGAGCGTCACATAAACATATTTTTTAATCATAAAATAACTTCAAATGTATCTAAATGAGGGATAGGTATCCCTGAGATTATTTTCTTGAACCACCACAGTCTTCCATGTTAATATAAGAGTGTTATAATAGGTCTTAGATATATATCACTATATTCCGATTTCTACAAAAATATTAGTGTGTTAGGTTATTATGTATGCTCTACACACATTAAATCTAGAATTTAGGAAAAAGGATTGATGGAGGAAGAAAAAAACACTTGAGAGGAGAAGAAATAAATTTTTTTGTAGAAAAAAATTGACGAAAAGGTATTTATATAGTTATAGAAGTTGGAGAGAGTTGCAATAATTACTAAAATTTTAAAACTTTTGAAATGTTATTAATAATTAGAATTAAAAATAAAGTCGTCAATTTTATAATTAACTTTATAAATAAATTAAAAATTTTTTATATTGAATATTTTCATTTTTAAAATTTTTACATTTGTGAATATATGAATTCATTTAAATTTTAAATGTTAATATATTTTTATACTTTTATTTTCAGAAATTATTTAACTATTAAAATCTCGGTGACATTTATAGGAGTATGTGAAAGAGTTTAATTTTAAAATTAAAAAAAAAAACAAAAAATATGTGAATTGACTTTATTTAGGAGAGAAGGTATATTTATATGTAGAAATTAAAAAATGAGAGAGGAAAATAGAGCACATCTCTCTCCAAAGTCCAATTCACATGAAGAGAGGGAAAAATAATCCAATCCATTAGAAACTCATAAATTTAGGTTTATTTTATTGCGGCACACAACTTTACCCAAATAATCTTCTCATTTTAGTTGCTATATTGAAAAATTAGAATATATATATATATATATATATATATATATATATATATATATATATATTAATTAGGCTGAGTATAAATGAACTGCAACACAATATTAAAGTAAAAATACAAAAACTTAGTGAGTTCCCAAGATTTCAAAACTTTGATTGTAGAGGTGGAGAGTTTCATCATCTCTCAGATCTTCTTTGTCTCTCGACGTTTTTTGTTGTGAACATGTCAT